GATGTCTGCATGAAGCTTATGCTGTGGGTGGGAGAAACAGACCATAACACACACAAACAAGATGCAGTCTCCCTTCAGAGTCTTTGAGTATTATGGAAAATGTGACATAATCTGCTATTTCACATAGGATGGTGAACACAGGACTTACTATCTCAGGCAAGCCTACATGAAGTGAGGGAACAAGAGTGTTCTAGGCCAACAGAGTGGCAAGTGCAAAGGCCCTGAGGTCAGAGCCTGCAGGTAAGACAGCAATATGTGAAGCGCGAGGAGGGTGAAGTGGGGAAGGTGGCCAGGAGCTGGATCACACAGACTCCATACTGTCCGTCCTGATAGGATTTTGATTTTTATTCTGAGAATGATAGAATGGCGTTGGAACACTTCCACTTTAATTTCATCTTAACCTTTTTTGGGTCCCAAATGTCTTTGACAGTCTGGTGAAACCTGTGGAGCCCTTTTGCAGAATAATGTTTTTAAATGCATGAAGTCCAGCGGATGTCAAAGAAACCATTTATATGGAAATATGCAGATTAAGTTCCCCTGTAAAGGACACACATGCCCTGATTTACATTTTCAAAGGGTTGCTCTGACTGTGCAGTGGGGAGAACGACTACAGCAGACCAGTAAGATGTGGTTGTGACAGCAAAGCTATCTGATTTATTCTACAGGGCAGTGAGTGGCCTTGGAAGTAGGGTTGCCCAGCATAGTCTCTTTGAGGGCAAGGAGAAAGTGGTACAACTTCTATTTACATTTAATTTACTCTCATTCTTTTTAATGGCTCTACTGAGTATGTGTTTTATAATATCCTAATATATTAGGACATTAGTCCATTTATATAATTCACGAATAAATTAACATATATTGGAGATGCGTGCTTGAAAAGTCTTTCTGACCGTGATTTTTGATACAGGGAGAGTGACCCTGTAAACAACTAACAAAATACCACACTGGTTTGAACCACATTCCATTTCAGATCCATGCCGTGGGAGAACTGAATTCTTGCCATGATTCAACCTCACTAAATGTCAGACATGTTTCTCCAGCACCCTTATCTTGCCTTAAGGGCCCTCATCTGGCTGTAAGTCTGCTTACATCTGAGTAGACCCCCTTACTGTCACCTCTGAGGTGGCATGTCCTCCCTCAGGGAAAACAAGTTTCCTGGGGTTGCTGTCAGACATCTGGCCTGAGATTCAGGAGCCCCCGAAGAGGGGTGTCCTCTGCTCCTGGCATCTGAGCCGAGCTGTGAGCATGCCTCCCCCCCCCTTCTGTGAGGTGCTCACTTTCACCTTCACTCTGTTGTAAGTCTCTCTTCCATCTCCCTGTCTCTGATAGACCTCTCTTGAGCATTTCTGTGCTCTCCAGCAGTGCAGCAAGCTGAAGGGTACATGTTATTCCAAGTGTGATACAGCATAGTATTGTGCAGGGTACGGATATTTTATTTTATACCCAGGAGGAGTAACTGGAGTGGAGGAAGGAGAGACAGAAAGAAGAGAAAGTGAGAGAAAAGAACTGATTTTGCATGAATCCTGCACTAGTTATCACTGAACTGCCATTTTTTTTCTCTCTCTTCACCCCAAAGAGAGCTTTTCTTCTATTTTATATAAAGGAAGAAATTCTTTCATAAAGAAAGAAACCCAAGATGTTTATAAAATGAGTAGAGATCTTCAGGTAAGCTATGAAAATGAAAACTAATGCATGGCTAGAGGTAGGTCCACCCCCCACCTCCACAGATCAGGTCATGGCTGTTGGTGTCTGGGGAGATGCAATCTTTGCTATGTAAAAATACTAACAGAAGAATTTCACTGACCTGTCTTTCAAGTAGAAATTGTTTTAGGGAAGTGATAGAGAACTTGAAAATGAGGCCAGCCTAACCCCACAATTCCTGTGCCCTAAATATGAAGTCATACTCCCAATTATTCTTTTTTTTCTCTGCTCCTCTGATTTCTGAACTCCTTCTATTTCAGGCACTGCTCCTTCATTGGGTACTTTTGATTATTTTAAATGTCTTATTAGTGAGTATTTGCAGAAATGTCAACTTGTAGGTAGAGTAGCCAGACATTGGGAACGTAGTTTGTTAAATCTCTCTCATAGAAGATAAATAAAATATTAGAGCACAGAGGGGCTTGTCCTCAGTATTATTCTGCGCAGCGTTACCCACAGCAGGAAGCAATGTTGGGTGTTAAGACTCAGAGCCAAGTCAAGCAGTCTGCTCTTTCTCTCTAGTGGACACAGCCATGAGAACACTGAAATAGCTCCTGGGTGGGATAATGGATTTGTGCTGGGAATGAACTAAACCTCTACGTCATTGTCCAAGAAACAACAAAATCCTTGCTGTTGCTCACCAAAATAAAACTAGTTAAAAGAATTCAGCAAGGGGAAAAGCAAAAAATTTAAAATGGAAAAAAAAGTGCCCAAAGCCATCCACTTCAGTCTTCTTCACTGTCTGTCTTTCCTGTGCCCTTCGGAATTAGGCTGCCTGTGATGGATGGGCCATTTGGATTGTAGGGTTAATTTGGGGGACCGGCTGTCACTGCTTGTTGCTGTAGAGTTTCATGGGGTTTCCTAGGTGCCTTGCTGCATTTGGGGATGTGTTTGGTCCCCAAGGTTCCAGGAACCTCCACATTTGGATGCCTTTGGGAGTGGAGAGCATTTCAGATTGATGAAGAGTTAGGTGTCTGGTTCTTCTCTTTTTGTTTGTGCCTGATTCCCCCCTGAAATAACAGAGCGTGGTAGATGAGCAATAGCATTAAGTGAATGACACCAACGTGTCTCTCCAAGACGGCATCAATATCTCTTCCCCACACCTCCCATATCCCACTCATTCAGAGAATTACTAAAGAACACTCAGTATTTCAAATCCATTCTCCATCAACATAGTGAGGAAATATTTAAAACTTAAGAAGATACTCTGTTTTCCGGTATCTCGGCTGTCCAGAGTGACTCCAGACTTGGCTGTGTCGAAGGAAGTGTTTGTCAGGAAGTGTTTACTGACGGCTTGTTAGACCTGTCTTCTTAGCAGCCTCTGCAAACACAGGGGGAGGAAAGAGAGTTGAGATGAATAGAGTTCTTAGACTCTGCAAGGCTCAAGAAATGTGCTTTATGTACCACTCATGTAAGCCTCAGAATAAATGTGGTTTTATTGATAAGCTCACCCCCCATTCAACAGATAAGAACACTGAGGCCTAGTTTGTAATGAACTGAGCAAGATCCCAGGGGTGCTGACTCCAAAGTTTATGGGACTCACCACTCGGCTACGTTCTCTTCAGCCAGCACATCTTTTCTAAACTTTTTGCAGAAGCCAGAAGGTGAACTTCTAACATTGCTCATTGATTCATTTTTCCCCCCTGGTTTCTAAAACTGAATGGGTTTCCTCCTGTGCTTCCAGCCCTCCTTCATGTCCTCTTGGTTCTCTTTAAAAGAAATGCCTGTGTTTCTCATTTCTCTTCTCTGTGGGTTTTACAGAGCAGTGGCTCACTAGGGCACCGATTTAATGAAATAAAAATTTGAAGCATGTTTGGTTTGATTCTAGGGGATACAAATAAAGAATTGTGAATGCTTTGTAGTCAGGTTAAAAGAGAAGGGGAAAGGTGGAAGGAAAAAATAGGTCAAGTATAGTAGCTGGGTAATGTCTCCTTGAGGGCTGCCTAGTAAAGATTCAGCTGTTAAAAATGGAGACGTAATGGGGCAGCCGAAGCCCCATTGGCATCTGTGTGTCCTCCAATTTTGAGTTTGGCAGTTTACGATATCTGCCAGTTACGTGAATTGACTATGTGCTAGGCACTGTCCTAATTAATATATAATATATGTACACATTGATCTATCCTCTCCCAGCCTTTTTAAGGTACATGCTACGATCATGAAGCATAGAGAGGTGTATTAGTCTGCCTGAGGTCAGACAATTAAGGACAGAACTGGAAGTTGAGCCCAGGAAAGTTGGCATCAAAGCTCTTATGCATGTGCTCACCTTCCCCTCAGTGGCAGGGCGCAGTTAACTCCGTCTCATGATACCATGGGGTTCCAAAGATTATTTTCTTCTTAATTAGTACTAGCCCACCATACAGTTGAAAGGGTAAATATTTGTCATGTTTGGTGACAGACGTAATGGGTTAAAAAAAAAAAAAAGGTCTAAGGCAAAGCTGTGTACTTTCTCTTACATTTTCTTCCATCTGTATTTACTGTCTGGAAAGGTCACTTGAGCACAAGTGTTCGAATTTCATACTTACAAGCAGCTTTCCTGTGGCTAGAACCTTGCTCTACAAATTGATTTTAAAAATATTTTATGATAAGATGCATTGCTCTCGAATATGGGCACTGTAGAGTCATCAGGTTATGAGCTTTCTAACTCAGACTTTGGTGACAGCATTTTCCAAAAGTGCCAAGAATCGTGGGGAGACTTCCGTTTTACTCTCAGATGGTAGCCCTCTCTCCTGCCTGTCCGTCCATCACAGTTACAGGAAGGAACAGTGGTTCTGGGAGGCCCACGCGGTTTGCCTTGTCAGTCGGCTACCTGGCTGCAGTTTGTGGTAGGAGGAAAGGGAGGGAGAAGACGAAAAAGCCTGAAATGGCAAATTACTGTAGGTTCTGGAGAAAAATAGAATTAGAAGCATTTGTGGTTCAGATGAAAATAGCACATTTCCTTTCTGCCTGGACTGTGGGGGTCAAAGTGCTCTGGGGAATAGAAAATAAATAAAAATTGATCCCTCACCATTCGAAGGAAATGCTCTGACTCTGGGAACTGAAATGACGGCTCCAGATTTGAGTATCTTGTGAAACCACTTTTGAAGGTTAACAACAACAACAAAAAAA